ACCCTGCCCCAGCCCCAGGCCCGGCCACCCCATTTCTATGGTCAGGGTCTTTCCCAGCCCAGGCCCCACCCAGCAGCCGAGGCCAAGAGGGTTCCCCAAAGTGGGAGAGGAGTAAGAGATCCCAGGCGACCTCGACGGGACCCCACCCATAGGTACACACAAAAAAGGGGGATAGAGGCCAGGCACGGTGGCTCACGCCTGTAATCCCAGCAGTTTGGGAAGCTGAGGCGGGTGGAACAGTTGAGGTCAGGGGTTTGAGACCAGCCTGGCTTGAACCTGGGAGGCAGAGGTTGCAGTGAGCTGAGATTGCGCTACTGCACCCCAGCTTGGGCCACAGAGTGAGACTCCGTCTCAAAATAAAGATGCGGGAGGATTGGGAGCCCGACAGCCCCATCCTGAGACCCCGTCCTCATTTCTATGATGATGGATCTTGTTCCCACTTTTCCCCCCAAGAACGCTTAATAAAAGCTTGTGAAGAAAAAGCAAAGCTGGTGTTTGTGGCGATTTGGGAGTGCTGAAAAGATCTGAAGAAATCAGGTGCGGTGGCTCACGCCTGTAATCCCACCACTTTGGGGGACTGAGGCGGGCGGATCACCTGAGGTCAGGAGTTCGAGACCAGCCTGGCCAACATGGTGAAACCCCGTCTCTACTAAAAATACAAAAGTTAGCCAGGCATGGCCCGGAGCTCCCAGGGGTGGCTGGAGAGGCCCACTGTGGCCAAGGGACTTGGTGACAACTCAAAGCCCCCCTCCCACCTTATACTTGTAGGGACAAATCCAAGGAGCAAGAAGTGGTGCTCTGGCTTCCAAACAGTCCCCTGCCCTGGAAGACCCCGTCCGCAGCTGGCATCACCCCCAGGCAGGCCTGGAGGTGGGGAGAGGAGCGGGCAGGGCAGGGAATTCGTGGTGTTTACCAGCCCCCCGGGGTCTTCTGCCTGACTGTCACCTTGAAGTGACACCAGCTAGGCCCAGCTCCCCTCCCCTACTTCTGCTGTTTCCATGGGGACAGATGTCCTTTCTGCAGATCAAGCCCCTGCTGCCAGGAGGAGGGAGCGGGGCTGGCCCGAGAGCCTGGCCCCCTCAGTTTCTCCATCTTTGTATGTCGGTTTCTATGGAGTGCGGTTTTCATCTTCTCTCTTTCTTCAGCAGTAAGAGACTGCTCTGTCTCTTACCCTCTGAGTTCTGATCCCTCCCTATGGGAGATTCAGGTTCCAATCCCAACTCTGCCCCCAAAACAAAGAGCTGGGGATGTGCTTGGCCCGTGAGGCCTCGAGGTTTTTTGTTTGTTTGTTTTGTTTTGTTTTGTTTGAGACAGAGTTTCGCTCTCATTCCCCAGGCCGGAGTGCAATGGTGTGATCTCAGCGCACTGCAATCTGCGCCTCCTGGGTTCAAAGGATTCTCCTGCCTCAGCCTCCTGAGTAGCTGGGATTAGAGGCACCTGCCACCACGCCCGGTTAATCTTGTATTTTTAGTAGAGATGGGGTTTCTCCGTGTTGGTCAGGGTGGTCTCGAACTCCCAACCTCAGGTGATCTGCCCGCCTCAACCTCCCACAGTGCTGGGATTACAGGCGTGAGCTACCGCGCCCGGCCTCCTCCAGGGTTTCAATGACCCCATCATCCCCCTCTCCAGCACTGCCTAGGGCTTTCCCGCTGGGAGTCAGCGATCCCACTTCCCTCTGCAGCCCAGAAAGGAAACTAACACAAACAATAACTTATTTATTTTCTAGGCCATGGGACGGCTTTGGGATACAATTCTGGGCCCGAGGACTCAAAAGGGGGCCGAGGGTCACTGTCAGGGGGTCTGCGTGACCACGGGGTACAGCAGAGCCAGATGCTCAGCGCCCTGCACCGGCAGTGGGCGTGAACTGTAGTGGAGGACGAGCTCGGGCACGCTGGGGAAGGGCCCGCTGTGTTGGCCCAGCACCACCTGGTTCTCTCGGGTCCGTGCGAACTTCAGATGCAGGAAGCCCTGGCTGCTCCTGGGTGATGAGGGAGAAAGGGACTCCTAGCACCCCAGACACACCCAGAAAGCCACCATCCCCAAAGCCACCTCCCACAGTGCCCAGGGCCAGGTGCTCGTGCGTCTCCAGTCTCTGGTAAACAGCAGTGTGCTGGCTGGGATAGTTGCTCACACCTGTAATCCCAGTGATATGGGAGGCTGAGGCTATAGGATTGCTCCAGGCCAGGACTTAGAGACCAGCCTGGGCAACAGAGTGAGACCCCATCTCCACAGAAAAACGTTAAAAAATTAGGCGGGCATGGTGGCTCACGCCAGTAATCGCAGCACTTTGGGAGGCCAAGTCAGGTGGATCACTTGAGGTCAGGAGTTTAAGACCAGCCTGGCCAACATGGTGAAACCCCATCTCTACTAAAAATACAAAAATTAGCCGGGCATGGTGGCAGGCACCTGCGGTCCCAGCTACTCCGGAGGCTGAGGCAGGAGAATCCCTTGAACCTGGGAGGCAGAGACTGCAATGAGCTGATATTGTGCCACTGCACCCCAGCCTGGGTGACAGAGTGAGACTCCATCTCAAATAATAATAATAAAAATGATAATAGTAAGAGGCCAGGTATACAGTGACCCACACCTGTAATCCCAGCACTTTGGGCGGCCGAGTCAGGCGGATTGCTTGAGACCGGGAGTTTGAGACCAGCCTGGCCAACATGGCCAAACCCTGTCTGTACTAAGAATACAAAAATTAGCCGAGCATGGTGGTGTGTGCCTGTAGTCTTCCGTCTCCCGAGTTCAAGCAATTCTCCTGCCTCAGCCTCTGACGTGGCTGGAATTACAGGTATGCACCAGTATGCCCGACTAATTTTCGTATTTTTAGGAGAGAAGGAGTTTCACTACGTTGGCCAGGCTGGTCTCGAACTCCCGACCTGAAGTGATCCGCCCTCCTCGGCCTTCCAAAGTGCTAGGTTTACAGGCATGAACTACCATGCCCAGCCCCAATCTTGTGCTTTTAGATCTTACACTCAGACACCTAGCAGAATCTTAGGAGTGGTTTATAATTAGACAGAATTTTAGGGACGGAAGTGCATACAAACAGGGTCTCAACCTAAAACGCTTACAGGCACACCCTGAAATTTTGGCTTCAGACAGACACAAATTGATATACCTCCATTTTTGGACAAGGGGAGTCCAAAGGAATCTTGTGCACCTAGTTCCTCGTCTTACCTGAGGCCTGGACCCCCTCTGTGCCTTCCACTCCATCTTCTTGTATACCTCCAGTGATGGGGAGCTCATCCTCAATTTGCAATCAGCTAATGGCCTCCCCGGAAGTCCCACCCCTTCTCCTAGAAGTCCCACCCACTGGCCTGGAAGCCCTTCCCAATGGCTGCTGGAACCACACCCTCCCGTTCCCTCTGAATTAACCCAAAAGGGTGACTCATACAATCCTGTGACCCCTGTGAGGCTGAGGGCTCACCTGAGAGACAAGGAGCAGTCCTGGGGGCTGGTCTCGCTGAGCCGCACTAGGTAGCTGCCTTCCTTGCAGAGGGACAGGAGGCTCTCTGCATCCGCCCTGTTCAGGGGGCCATGAAACCACCTACGGAGTGCAGACAGATGCCTCATCAAGGACTGTTCCCCTTCAAACACACTCTGGGGCCCTGTAATCCCAGCACTCGGGGAGGCTGAGGCGGGCGGATTGCCTGAGGTCAGGAGTTGGAAACCAGTCTCGCCAACATGGTGAAACCTCATCTCTACTAAAAATACAAAAAAGTTAGCTGGGCGTGGTGGCGGGTGCCTGTAATCCCGGCTACTCCGGAGGTTGAGGTAGGGGAACTGCTTGAACCAGGGAGGTGGAAGTTGCAGTGGGCTGAGATCCAGCCACTGCACTCCAGTCTGGGCAACAGAGTGAGACTCCGTACAAAACAAACAAACAAACAAACAAACCACATTCTGAGATTAGTTGGGTCCATGCACAGCTTGTGCGTGGGTTTGTGGCGTCCGGGCAAATGAAGAAGGAAAATTCCCTTGGATTTTTGTTTTTTTGTTTTTTTTTTTGAGACAGAGTCTTGCTCTGTTGCCAGGCTGGAGTGCAGTGGTGCAATTTTGGCTCACCTCAACCTCCACCTCCCGGGTTCAAGTGATTTTCCTGCCTCAGCCTCCCAAGTAGCTGGAACTACAGGTGCGCAGCACCACACCCAGCTAAGTTTTGTATTTTTAGTAGAGATGGGGTTTCACCACGTTAGCCAGGCTGGTTTGGAACTCCTGACCTCAGGCTATCTGCCCTCCTCAGCCTCCCAAAGTACTGGGATTACGGGTTTGAGCCACCGCGCCTGGCCGATCCCCTTGGATTTTTCAAGAAGAGGCCTGGTTATAATATACCTGACATTGATTTTCACAGCCTCCCTCGTGTCCTTGTCAACTTCAATCACTTTCACAAAAGTGCTGCTTCATCTTGTACCTCACCCACCTGTCCCTTTCTTTTTTCTTTTGAGATGGAGTCTCACTCTGTCTCTCAGGCTAGAGTGCAGTGGCACGATCTTGGTTCACTGTAACCTCTGCCACACAGACTGAAGTTATTCTCATGGCTTAGCCTCCTGAGTAGCTGGGACTACAGGTGCCAGCCCACAACTGGCTAATTTTTTTCTATTTTTAATAGAGACAGGGTTTCACCATGTTAGCCAGGCTGGTCTTGAACTGTTGACTTCAGGTTATCTGCCTGCTTCGGCCTCCCAAAGTGCTGGGATTACACGCATGAGCCACCGCACCCAGCCCCTTTCTTAATGTTTTTTTGTTTTGTTTTGTTTTGAGATGGAGTCTCTCTTTGTCACCAGGCTGGAGTACAGTGGCGTGATCTCAGCTCACTGCAACGTCCACCTCCTGGATTCAAGAGATTCTCCTGCCTCAGCCTCCCAAGTAGCTGGGATTACAGGTGTGCACCACCATACAGAGTTAATTTTTGTATTTTCAGTAGAGTTGGAGTTTCACCATGTTGGCCAGGATGGTCTCGATCTCTTGACCTCATGATCTGCCCACCTTGGCCTCCCAAAGTGCTGGGACTACAGGCTTGAGCCCCTGCATCCGGCCTAATGTTTTGCTTCAATGTGCTCATAAAGGGGTCTGCAGTTGCAAGCAAGGTATCAAAGACAGAGAAGCACCAGAGCCTTTGCTGTTGTTCATAATGAAAAAAATCTGAAAAGAGAATAAGCACATATGGCGCGCCTGTGGTCCCATGGAGGAGGCGAAGGCAGGAGGATGGCTTGATCCCAGGAGTTCAGGGGTACAGTGAGCTATGATTGTGCCACTACACTTCAGCCTGGGCAACAGAGCGAGACCTTGTCTGAAAGAAAGAGAGAAAGAGAGAAAGAGAAAGAGAAAGGGAAAGGGAAAGGGGAAGGGGAAGGGAAGGAAGAACAGAGGGAGGGAGGGAAGGAAGGAAGGTAGGAAGGAAGGAAGGAAGGAAGGAAGGGAGAGGAAAGAAGAAAGGGCAGTGGCTCACGCCTGTCATCCCGACACTTTGGAGGGCCAAGGCAGGCACATCACCTGAGGTCAGGAGTTTGAGACCAGCCTGGCTAACATGGTGAAACTCCATCTCTACTAAAAATACAAAAATTAGCCAAGTGTGGTATTAGGAGCCTGTATTTCCAGCTATTTGGGAGGCTGAGGCAAGATAATTGCTTGAACCGGGGAGGCGGAGATTGCAGTCAGCTGAGATGTACCACTGCACTCCAGCCTGGGCGACAAGAGCAAGACTTTGTCAAAAAAAAAAAAAAAAAAGGGAAAAGACAAGAGAGAAGAGAGGAGAGGAGAGAAGAGAAAAGAAGAAAGAGGGAAGGGCTGGGCGCAGTAGCTCACACCTGTAATCCCAGCACTTTGGGAGGCTGAGGTGGACAGATCATGACATCAGGAGTTCTAGACCAGCCTGGTCGACATACTGAAGCCCTGTCTCTACTGAAAACACAAAAATTAGCTGAGCGTGGTGGTGCAGGCCTGTGGTCCCAGCTACTCTGGAGGCTGAGGCAGGAGAATCACTTGAACCTGGGAGACGGAGGTTGCAGTGAGCCGAGATGGCGTCACTGTGCTCCATCCTGGGCGACGGAGCAAGACTCGGGGAGGGAGGGAGGGAAGGAGCAAGCGAGGAAGAGAAAGAGAAAAAGAGAACAATCTTCACTCCCTAGGCCTCAGAGTTAAGTAGCCAGTTCTGTATTGCCCAACGAAGAGATTTAGGGGTGACTGTGATAACATGGCCTGGATTCTGGGGACTCGGGCAGTCCCTCAGGGACCTCCCAGGCTGGAAGGGAACATAGTCAGCGTCTCCTAGCTCATGTGCGACCCCAGCACGGAGTTGCGAGCCCACCAAAATGCTGCGCCTCCTGGCTCCATCCCAGGAACCAAAAACTTGGGGCTGAGAATGATTTCTGTCTCTTGGCTCTGAGGCTGTAAGTCCCACCCAGGTTAAGGAAGGAAATTCCTTTTTCTGTTGGAACCTGAGGCTCAGAGAGGTTAAGTGACTTGCCCCAGGCTACACAGCCAGGAGGGGAGAGCAGGGATTTGAACCCAGAACTTGATACCAGAGGGAAAGGGACCCCATCAGATTCGGTTTTGTGTCTAGCTGGGTGCCTGGCACAGAGCAGGCTCTGGCGCCCAGTAAAGAGTAGCTGAAGAAATGAAATAAGTGGATGAATGAATCAAAGTTCTCCCAGTTCCTCTCATCTGGGAAAACGAAAAAACTTCTGCCTGGTACATTGGAGTCTGCAGATAACATTCAACGGGGCTCCTCCACCTTTAGCTTCCCCACTCACGGCTGTTTCTCCAGGGGCAGGGCTGGGTCCACACGCTCCGCAGGCTGGGGGCTTCTGGGTGGGGGTCTCCGGAGCTCCTTGGCTGAGCCTGGAGTCCTCTCCCACTCTGGACTGTCAAACTGCACTGGAAGGGAGATTTAGAGAGGAAAGGGTTAAGTCCAGCCTATCTTGGGGGGGCGGGGCAGGGGCAAGCCAATGGAATCTCAGTAGGAAGGCAGGGCCAGTTTGGGACAACCTATCAGAGCCCAGGGGCTGGGCTTAAGGCAGGGGCTGGATTGGCCACAGGTGTAACCTATTGGCCTTCAGAAGAAATAGGTGTGGTCATTTATAAATCTGGTGGCAAGGCGCACAAGGATCTTGGCTAGAGGGGGTGGTTTAGAAGTTTCCAGAGAGGAGCCCTACTTCCTAAATCCCTTCTGGGTTCAGGCTAGACTGGAGCCAAGTCCTAAAACTAGAAAATCATCCCCAATCTACAGACAGGTGGACCAAGGCACTGAGCTCTAAATACCCTCCCAGTAATAAAACTTTGGGGGCAAAGTCGTGTTTGGGGGCAAAGTCGTGTTTGCACAACTAGAATCTGGTCCAAATGCTATGCTATGCTATGCTATGCTATGCTATGCTATGCTATGCCATGCCATGCCATGCCATGCCATGCCATGCTAAAGTTTAGCTCTTGTCGCCCAGGCTGGAGTGCAGTGGCGCGATCTTGACTCACTGCAACCTCCGCCTCCTGGGTTCAAAGCAATTCTCCTGCCTCAGCCTCCTGAGCAGCTGGGATTACAGGCACGTGCCACCACGCCCGGGTAATTTTGTATTTTTAGTAGAGACGGAGGTTTCTCCATGTTGGTCAGGCTGGTCTCGAACTCGTGACCTCAAATGATCCACCCGCCTCGGCCTCCCAAAGTGCTGGGATTACAGGCGTGAGCCACCATGCCTGGCAACTATTTTATTTATTTATTTATTTATTTATT